GAGAATTCAGAGTCGGTTTTATTTGTTTTCTTCACATCAAAAGTGGAGCTACACATGAAGACTTGATACAAAGGGACCGTGTCCTGATGTATTGTGGACATTAAAAGTAGATCTAAAATCTCAGAGAAACTTGAACATGTTAACCATTTGTCTGCCGCCCTATAATAGAAATACTGCTACAGGGCAGCAGGGCTGTGCAAACCCACATGGAAGAAAAATATATTTGAAATACTACAATTTTGGCCGTATTCAATAAATATATATGTGTGTGATGTGTATGCCTATATATATATATATATATATATATATATATATATATATATTGTACTGTGTATATATATATATGTGTGTGTGTGTATATATATATATATATATATATATATATATATATACACACAAACACACCCCCACATATACAGAATATATATACACACACACACACATATATATATATATACAGTACAATATATATATATATATATATATATATATATATATATACACACACACATATATATATACAGTACAATATATATATATATATATATATATATATACATACACACACACACACACACACATATATATATATATATATATATACTGTATGTTTAAATGCGTTTTTATTACAAAATATATGAAAAAATATTTTTGAAAATTCATTTCACATGTTGTATGTCTTTAAAAAATAGAAATCTACATTTTTGGATGCATTTACAAATATATGTAAAAAAAAAAAAAAAATCTCCGAAGAATATATTTAAAAACAATTTTTTTTACAAAATATATATTTTTTTAAATATATTCTTCAGATTTTTTTTAACATATAAAAAAGTCATATTAACCTATATATTTTTACATATATTTGTAAATGCATTCCAAAAATTTAGATTTGTATTTTTAAAGACATACAGTATATTTGAAATGTATTTTTAAAAATATTTTTCATATATTTTGTAGTTAAAAAAACGCATTTCAACACGCAGTATATATATTTATTGAAATATATTGAATACGGCCAAAATTGTAGTATTTCAAATATATATCAATATAATTGGAGGACAATTTTTAAAATATATGGCAAATATATTTTTCTTCCATGTGGGAAATCTCATTTATATACGCGATTTGCATTTCTGGATAGGTAGCTCACACTGCCCTACCCGCGCTGCCATTGGCGGCTAGGCATGTCAATCACTGGGGTCCCGGCTGGAGATTTCCCGCTGGCATTTGGCGATCGCCGTGGGGAGAGTCCTTTGTATAAACAACACAGGTCTCTCTTCTGCCAGCAAGGACATTCTGCTATGTATTTCTCTGCACAGCATGTCTCCCTAGTAAAACACACACAGCACACAGTTAACCCTTTGATCACCCCAGATGTTAACCCCTTCCTGCCCAGTGCCATTAGTACAGTGTCAGTGCTTTTTATTAGCACTGATCACTGTATTGGTGTCACTGGGGATGTCAGTGACACCATGTCAATCCCCCCCAGTGTCAGAATGCCCGCCACAGTCCCACATAAGTCGCTGATCGCAGCCATTACTAGTATAAAAAAATAATAAAAATCCCAGTATATATATACCGCCATTTTTTACGCTATAACTTTCACGTAAACCAATTCATTTACACCTATTGGGATTTTTTTTTCAGCAAAGACACGGAGCAGAATACATTTTGGCCGAAATTTATGACAAAATCAGATTTTTAAAAATTTTTTGCGGCATAAGTTTCATAACAAAAAGTACAAAATGTTGTTTTTTTCTCAAAATTGTTGATCTTTTTTTGTTTATAGCGCAAAAAAAATAAAAATGCACAGGTGATCAAATGCCACGGAAAGCTCTATGTGTGGGAAAAGAAGGACATAGATGTAATTTGGGTGCAGCGTTGCATGACTGCGCAATTGTCAGTTAAAGTAACGCAGCGCCTTAATGGCCTGGTCAGGAAGGGGGGCAAATCCTCTGGAGTGCGAGGGGTTAAGGGGTTTCAGAAGCCGGGAGGCGGGGGCTGGGTTTAGGATCATGTGACCGCCGCGGTTGGCTGTTACTTAGCATGTTGTTTATTTGATGGAGTTTTGCTCATTCCGTCACAATCTCCTGAAAATGGGAAATTTTCCACGATGTATGAATTACCCAAACCGCCCTCTCCGCTCCTTGCACAACCTTAACCTTTGGGCGCCGGCACCTCCCGGCCCTTTAAGAGTTTCAGAAAGCCGGGAGGCGGGTTTTTAGGGTCATGTGACCGCCGTGATTCACCGTCACGGCGGTCACATGATGGGAAAAGGTCCCGATCGAAAGGGGAGATCTGGATTTTTCCAGGAGTAGCGGACATATGTGCTGGGAGCGCGCTGGGCAAGCGCTCTCAGCACATATGTATTTTTTAATTGCACGCAAATGTGCGGCCGCTCGCCGACAAGGCCCAGACGCCGAGAGGCTGCATATTTGCGTACGATCGGCATCAAGGGGTTAATAAATAAATGGGTTGCAGCTGCCAGAGACGATCGTTCTGTTTTACATGCAGAATTTGAATGTTTCCACTAATAGAGTTCCATTGATTTCTGTCCTCATTGTGTCTTTGGCTTTTCATCGATCTCATCTCTCTCCCGTTCATCGATGGATTGCTTCGTTGGCCCCACATCCTCCATGAATTGTTGGGTTCTTCCCGGGACCGAGCTTCCCATTGTGTCATCACTATAGCAGCACACGGCGTGTAAAGAGAGAACGCTTCATACATCAATTTTTTTTTTTATGGTCACGACTTGCACACGCCCCCTACCCAGTAATGCACAGGGCAGCACAGTGGCTGAATGGTTAGCACTTCCGCCTGGCAGTACTCGAGTCGTTGGTTCAGATCCCAACCACTCGGCACCACCTGCCTGGAGTTTGCATATTCTCCTTGTGCCTGCGTGGGTTCCTCCCACATTCCAAAGACATGCTGGTAGGTGAATTGGCTCCTGTCTAAATTGTCCCTAGTATGTGTATGTATGAATGTGAGTTAGGGACCTTAGATTGTATGCTCCTCGGGGGCGGGGACTGATGTGAATGTCCAATATATATATGTAAAGCGCTGCGTAAATTGACGGCGCTATATAAGTACCTGAAACAGAGGAGGACTGACCATTTGGAAACTCGGGCACTGCCTGAGGGCCTGGGGTCAGTAGGGGGCCCCATGAGATGCCCCTGGTACCTTTTTCATAGGCTTTTTTGAGTTTGGGCAAGGACACAGGGGCCCCATGATCCCCTATTGCCCAGGGGCCCCATGAGTTGTCAGTCCGCCCTGACCTGAAATAAATAATATACGTGATTTTGCGCACAGGTGCCACCCTGTAGCAGTATATAGTTGTCTGCTATAGGGTGGTCCTTAACCCCTTGGCGCCGGCGCCTCCAGGCCCTTTAAGGGTTTCAGAAGCCGGGAGGCGGGGCTGGGTTTGGGATCATGTGACCGCCGCGGTTGGCTGTTACTTGGCATGTTTATTTGATGGAGTTTTGCTCATTCCATCACAATCTCCCGAAAATGGGAAATTTTCCATGACGCATGATTTTACCCAAACTGCCCTCTCTGTTCCTTGCACGACCTTAACCTTTGGGCAGCGGCGCCTCCCGGCCCTTTAAGTGTTTCAGAAGCCGGGAGGTGGGGCAGGGTTTAGGATCATGCGACCGTCACCGCCGTGACACACCGTCACGGCGGTCTCATGATCGGGAAAGGTCCCGATCGAAAGAGGAGATCGGGACCTTTCCGTGAGTATTGGACATGTGTGCTGGGAGCGCGCAGGGCGCGTGCTCTCGGCACATATGTTCTTTTTTAATAAAACGCGCAAATGTGTGGCTGCTCGGTGTCTAGGCCCAGATGCCGGGAGGCTGCACATTTGCGCTCCTCCGGCGTGAAGAGGTTAAGCAATCGGTCTCTACTCACTAATGTTTCTCGAATAGTTGGATGCCTCTTTCCAGTATCTTCCAGACACCTCTCCTGTCAATTCTTCAGATCAGATCCCAAAATCTCAGTAATCTCCAGCAGAATATCCCCCCCCCAGATAGCATAGCTGGGACCTCAGTGAGCAGCAGAAGCAGGTAGGCTCCGAGGAAGAGGATAAGTCCTCGAAACGCGTCAGCCTGTGGATGTTCCATCGTTCTGTTCCATCTTGATGTTTGCGGACTGTCTGTGCTGTACTCATGAGATTAACATCTACTTTTAATTACTTTGTGAGTATAATACTTACCTTTTTACACATTAAATACTTTACGCCCGGGTTCACATATATGCAGTGCGGTATATCGCGTGTGATTCGCACAGGAACCGCACCGCATTCCTCTACCAATCACATGCGATTTGTGTGCGGTGCAGTCGGAGCCGTACATTTTGTATGGCTCTAATCGCACCGCACCCGCTCCAAAAAAGGCCAGGACCCTTTTTTGGGTCCACAATAGAATCGGATCGCATGGGTATTCACACCTATGCGATCTGATTCTGCGCATCGCACCGCATTTTGCGGACCGCTTTCGGGGTGTTGTTAACTTTCCAGTCCGGACACATTCCCCCCCTTCCAGTCCGGACACTTTCCCCCTTCCAGTCCGGACACCTTTCCCCCCCTTCCAGTCTGGACACTTTTCCCCCCCTTCCTGTCCGGACGCTTTCCCCCCTTCCAGTCCGGACGCTTTCAACCCCTTCCCAGTCCGGACACTTTCCCCCCCCTTCCAGTTCGGACACTGTCCCCCCCCCCCCCCTTCCAGTCCGGACACTTTTCACCCCCTTCCAGTCCGGACACTTTCACCCCCTTCCAGTCCGGACATTTTCACCCCCCTTTCCAGTCCGGACACTTTCCCCCCTTGCTAGTCCGGACACTTTCCCCCCCCTTCCAGTCCCCGGTCACACTTTTCCTCCCCCCCCTCCCAGTCCGGACACTTTCACCCCCCTCACAGTCCTGACACTTTTCCCCCCCCTCCAGTCCGACACTTTCCCCCCCCCTCTTCCAGTCCGGACGCTTTCCCACGCCTCCCCCCCTTCCCAGTCCGGACACTTTCCCCCCCTTCCAGTCCGGACACTTTCCCCCCCCTTCCAGTCCCCGGACACTTTCCACCCCCTTCCCAGTCCGGACACTTTTCACCCCCTTTACCAGTCCGGACACTTTCCCCCCTTCCAGTCCGGACACTTTCCCCCCCTTGTCCGTCCGGACACTTTCCCCCCTTCCAGTCCGGACACTTTCCCCCCCTCACAGGTGCCGGACCCCCCCCCTTCCAGTCCGGACACTTTCACCCCCTTCCAGTCCGGGACACTTTCACCACCCCAATTCCAGTCCGTGACACTTTCCCCCCCCCTTCCAGTCCGGACACATTCCCCCCCTTCCAGTCCGGACACTTTCCCCCCCTTCCCAGTCCGGACACTTTCCCCCCTTCCTGTCCGGACGCTTTCAACCCCTTCCAGTCCGGACACTTTCCCCCCCTTCCAGTCCGGACACTTTCCCCCCCCTCCAGTCCGGACACTTTCCCCCCCCCTTCCAGTCGGACACTTTCACCCCCTTCCAGTCCGGACACTTTCCCCCCCTTCCAGTCCGGACACTTTCCCCCCCTTCCAGTCCGGACACTTTCCCCCCCTTCCAGTCCAACACTTTCACCCCCTTCCAGTCCGGGACACTTTCACTCCCTTCCAGTTTGGACACTTTCACCCCCTTCCTGTCCGGACACTTTCCCCTCCTTCCAGTCCAGACACTTTCACCCCCTTCCAGTCGGGGACACTTTTCACCCCCCTTCCTGTCCAGGCCAATTTTCAGCTTTCAGCGCTGTCACACTTTGAATGACAATTGCGCTGTCATGCAACACTGTACCCATATGAATTTTTTTGAATTTTTTTGAGACAGATAAAGCTTTATTCACCACTGGGATTTTTATTTTTTCTTGCTATGTAAATGAAAAAAGTCCAAAAATTTTGAAAAAAAAAGTGTTTTTCTTATAAAATTTTGCAAATAAATAATATTTCATCATAAATCTTGGCCAAAATGTATTCCGTTATCTTTTTAGTAAAAAAAAAAAATAATAACACAAATTAGTTCATAATCAAAAATTATAATTTTTAAACATTTTTTTTTTTACATTTTTATATTATTTATTTATTTATTTATTTTTACATACTTTCACCCTAGCACGGGTGTCGGCAACCCGCGGCTCTTTTTCACCTTGGCTGCGGCTCCCGGAGCACACTGCCCACCAGGTGACAGGCAATAGGGCAGCAATGGGCAAACTACGGCCCGGCGGATCTTTTAATCCGGCCCGCGGAGCTAGGCTCCCGCTAGGCTCCTCTCACAGTCCGCCCTGAAGACCGGTGTAGCATGAAAATCTGTCTCCTCTGAGGATCTGTCCCCCTCGACGTATCTGCGCATGTGCCTGAAACTGGCACATGCGCAGATACGTCGAGGGGGACAGATCCTCATAGGAGACAGATTTTCATGCTAGAGGTGCGGCGCGGGAACACGGCGGAGCAAAGGTAAGTGAATTGACACAGGGGGGACTTAATATGGGGGATGAATTACTATAGGGGGATGAATTACTATAGGGGGATGAATTACTATAGGGGGATGAATTAATATGGGGGGATGAATTACTATAGGGGGATGAATTACTATGGGGGATGAATTATTACTATATGGGGGATGAATTACTATGGGGATGAATTACTATATGGGGGATGAATTACTATAGGGGGGATGAATTACTATGGGGGATGAATTACTATATGGGGGATGAATTACTATATGGGGGATGAATTACTATAGGGGGATGATGAATTACTATGGGGGATGAATTACTATATGGGGGATGATGTATTTTCAGTTTTAAAAATGTGGCTCTCAAAATAAATTTTTAATCGTGGTTTTGGCGAGATTTGGCTCAGTTGAAAAAAAAAGGTTGCCCACCACTGACCTAAGGCTATGATTGTGATTATGACGATACACTGTGGCCCTGGATTAACCCTTTGCTTACTGGGCCCTTAAACCCCCTTCATGACCAGAGCGCTTTTTGCAATATATGCAGTGTCGGATTTGTTTTAAATGTTGCAATGGTTTTGGCGGCTCCCAGTCTTTTTTTTCCCTTCGGAAACGGGTCCAAGTGGCTCTTTATGTCTTAAAGGTTGCAGACCTTTTTTTTACACTGATTGCTGTTATACCCATATAGGATGTAAAAGCAATCATTTTCTCCTTCTCTCTGGCTGCATTCTTGCACTCATTGAGAAGTACTGAGTGAGCTGTGATTGGTCACAGCTTGTCACATGGTACAAGGGCTGTTGTGAATAGCCCTGTACCATGTGATCTCTCTGTGATCATTCACAGATTTCACACGTAGTAAGCAATGATGTCAGAAGTGACATCTTGCTTACTACTCTGCATGCGCGATCACTGATTGGCCAATCAGTGATCACATGATCAGGACCTCGTACAGAGGTCCCGTCCGACGATCGGTGTTCCACTGTGTCCGGAGGGACACAGCAGGCACCGGATCGAGGTGCTGCGCGCTCGCAGGGAGCGTGCACAAGCAGGGGGTGGGCTTAGGGGAGGACGTTTATAAACGGCCACCTGACCCCTGCACTGCCACCATCTGGCTGTTTTATATACGTGGGCCGGGACAAGAGGTGGTTAATATAAAACCCTTGAACGCACGGGATGAACGGGTTGCAATTTCTGATGCGCATAGAAAAGGCTGCAAATTCCGCGCAGAATCAGTGTGAACCCGGGCTGAAGGATAATGCACTAAGCCACTGCGCCCCCGTCTGCTTGTTGTTATCGCAGTGCTTCTAGACCCCCCAAGGCTGAGGGCAGCAAGGCGATAGTGCGCCCCATGCAGGCCAAGTTTTGACTGCAGCCTATTAACCCTTCTTGGGCCCGACTCCCCAAGCGCAGGAGGAGTTCAGTTCTTTAGCAGCAGAAGCACGGCAAGTCTGTCCAATAAGGCAGCAGCCCTCCAGGCTGGGGATCTCCCCCTCCAGGACAAGAAGCACTCTGTCCCAGGCTATTTATGTCCTCCCCCCAGCAGGCCACCTGGGTACCATTCCTTAGGGATTGGCCAGGACTGCATAGATATTCAGCTGCTGATTTGACCCTCCTAAGCCCATTATCTGACGGAAACCCCACCAGACAGACCGGAGGAAACAGTCCGATCTGCAGCCAGTGAAACACAGAACAGACCGAAATAATGACACGCAGCTCAACTGATCACAGTGAGCCAAAGCTAAATTTACCTAACCTAGCACCTATCTAGGGAGGTGCTGCAATCAGGGGCGGACTGACCATTTGGAAACTCGGGCACTGCCTGAGGGCCCGGGGTCCAGTAGGGGGCCGCATGAGATGCCCCTGGGACCTTTTTCATAGGCTTTTTTGAGTTTGTGCCCCATGATTCCCTATTGTCCGGGGGCCCCATGAGTTGTCAGTCCACCCCTGGCCACAGAGCAGCGACTTAGCAACCCCCTGCCTCCTGCGATAGCCATGATGTACTGTAGCTACACTATATTGCCAAAAGTATTGGCCCCGCCCTCCCAATCATGTGATTCAGGTGTTCCAATCCCCTCCTAATCATGTGATTCAGGTGTTCCAATCCCCTCCCATATCATGTGATTCAGGTGTTCCAATCCCCTCCATGACACAGGTGTATACAATCAAGCCCCTAGGCATTGCAGACGGCTTCTACAAACATTGGTGAAAGAATGGGTCGCTCTCAGGAGCTCAGTGACTCCAAGCGTGGTCCCGTGATAGGTGGTCACCTGGGCAATAAGTCCATCCGTGACATTTCCTGGCTACTAAATATATTCCACGCTCAAAACTGTTAGTGGGATTATAACAAAGTGGAAGCAACTGGGAACAACAGCCACTCAGCACCAAGTGGTAGGCCCACGTCACATGACAGGGCCAGGGGGTCAGCGCATGCTGAAGCGCACAGTGCGCAGAAGTCGCCAACTGTCTCTGCAGAGTCCATAGCTAAAGACCTCCAAACTTGGTGATGTGACCTTCAGATGAGCCCAACAACAGTGCGTAGAGAGCTTCATGGAATGAGTTTCCATGGCTGAGCAGCTGCATCCAAGCCTTCCATCAGCAAGTGCAATGCAAAGCGTCGGATGCCGTGGTGTAAAGCACGCCGCCACTGGACTCTAGAGCAGTGGAGACGTGTTCTCTGGAGTGACCAATCATGCTTTTCTGTCTGGCAATCCAATGGCCGTGTCTGAGTTTGGCGGTTGCCAGGAGAACGGTACTTGCCTGACTGCATTGTTTCAAGTGTAAAGTTTGGTGGAGGGGGGATTATGGTGTGGGGGTGTTTTTCAGGGGTTGGGCTTGGCCCCCCCTAGTTCCAGTGAAGGTAAACTCTTAAGGCATCAGCATACCAGACATTCTGGACAATTTCATGCTCCCAACTTTTGTGGGAAGAGTTTGGGGATGGCCCCTTCCTGGCATGGCCGGGATCTAGTGGGGTGCTGGGGTTGCCTGCTCCCCCCCAAATTTCAGCTCTGCGTGCCCCCCCGGCAGATTTTATCCCAGAGAAGCTGTCTGTAGTGGCTCACATAGCCCAGACCTTCCTGCCCAGGCCACGTTTTAGGTTTTTCAGCAACTGTTAAACTTTGAATGACAATTGTGCTGTCATGCAACACACTGTACCCATATGAAATTTTTACCATTTCTTTCACACAAATAGAGAATTCTTTTTGGTGGTATTTACCTGCCGCTGGATGTTTAATTTCTGCGCTATAAACAAAAAAAGAGCAAAAAAAAAAAAAAAAGTTTTTCTTTGTTTCGATTATAAAATTTTGCAAACGGGTACTTTTTCTTCTTCACTGATGTGCGTTGATGAGGCTGCACTGATGGGCAGTCTCCGGTCATCTCCTGTACTGTGTCCGCAGTCTCCGGTCATCTCCTGTACTGTGTCCGCAGTCTCTGGTCATCTCCTGTACTGTGTCCGCAGTCTCTGACCATCTCCTGCACTCTGTCCGCAGTTCCGGTCATCTCCTGTACTGTGTCCGCAGTCTCTGGTCATCTCCTGTACTGTGTCCGCAGTCTCTGGTCATCCCCTGTACTGTGTCCGCAGTCTCTGGTCATCCCCTGTACTGTGTCCGCAGTCTCTGGTCATCCCCTGTACTGTGTCCGCAGTCTCTGGTCATCCCCTGTACTATGTCCCGCAGTCTCTGGTCATCTCCTGTACTATGTCCGCAGTCTCTGGTCATCTCATGTACTGTGTCCGCAGTCTCTGGTCATCTGTACTATGTCCGCAGTCTCTGGTCATCTCCTGTACTGTGTCCGCAGTCTCTGGTCATCTCCTGTACTGTGTCCGCAGTCTTTGGTCATCTCCTGTACTATGTCTCGCAGTCTCCGGTCATCTCCTGTACTGTGTCCGCAGTCTCTGGTCATCTCCTGTACTGTGTCCGCAGTCTCTGACCATCTCCTGCACTCTGTCCGCAGTCTCCGGTCATCTCCTGTACTGTGTCCGCAGTCTCTGGTCATCTCCTGTACTGTGTCCGCAGTCTCTGGTCATCTCCTGTACTATGTGTCCGCAGTCTCTGGTCATCTCCTGTACTATGTCCGCAGTCTCTGGTCATCTCCTGTACTGTGTCCGCAGTCTCTGGTCATCTCCTGTACTGTGTCCGCAGTCTCTGGTCATCTCCTGTACTGTGTCCGCAGTCTCTGGTCATCTCCTGTACTGTGTCCGCAGTCTCTGGTCATCCCTGTACTGTGTCCGCAGTCTCTGGTCATCTCCTGTACTGTGTCCGCAGTCTCTGGTCATCTCCTCTACTGTGTCCGCAGTCTCTGGTCATCTCCTGTACTGTGTCCGCAGCAGTC